GATGCATTTTCTGTTTAGGCTTCCGTTCCGTGGTACTTTAAATGTCACGGATCTATGCAAAATATTAGGTGGATATATAGCAGCGCGCATCAGAGTTGTGTTACGAAACTTTTAGAGTTCATTCGCACGGGTGATAAAATTAATTCTGATGAAATTAAAATTAAAATTAAAAATAAGATATGTGTTTAAATAAAAAAATAATTATAGTGATGAGAAGAATTGTAATGAGAATAAAAAATAATTATTAATTATATTAAAATAAAAATTTTACATGATTTAATATTTATAAAATTAATAAATAATTAAAAATTTAATTTTATATCAAATAATAATTTTATTGGTAAATAATTAAAAAGTAATAAAAATAATAATATATCAAAGAATGAAAAAATAAAAATTATTAAGAAAAGATATAAATTATTTTTATATCAAATAATAATTTTATTGATAAATAATTAAAAAGTAATAAAAATAATATTATATCAAAGAATGAAAAAAGAAAAATTATTAAGAAAAAATATTTTAGTAATTATAATATTATGTAAAAGGTAAAAATAGAATAAATGAAAAAAAAAAGTGGCAAGTTGGCCACTGAATCAAATTTTTTCAGTGACTAAAAATCACAAAACGCACCACACTATTGACACCTAAATGGATACCTTGATCAGTAGGTACAAATTTTTATAACAATTAGCCTCCCACTAGAGATGCACTTGATTCCAAACCAAACTTTAATTCAGTGTCAAACTGTCGAAAGCTGCTGCAGTTGTGAAGAAAAAGGTATGTCACAAGCATGCATGGAACCATATTTGAAGAAGCCTCGTATCCATACAATGAATTTTGTAGAGAACATAGACTTATGGAGTGGTCTTCGTCATCGGCTTTTAATTTTTTTTTCCCTTTTTTTCTCACCTTATCAGTTTTTTTTCTTTCATTGTTTTTTTGGGATAAAAAGGTCTTTTTGGAGGGTAAATTGGATGAGTGAGAATGATTAAAACAGTTGGGATATCCTCGTGAGACAAATATTTTACTCTTTTGCCCTTTTTTTACTTTCTTTTTTGGGTTATTTCATTTCATTTTCCTTTTTCTTTCCCTTTCTAACCTATTCTCTCTCTAAAAAATAAATTTCAGTCAGCAACCGCCGGGCGTCATTGTTCACTATCATCCTAGTAACGGTTTTACTCCATAATTTAGCCACTTCTTCCCTTTCACCTTTTATGTATTAAAAAAAATCCTTAGAGCTTAGGATCTAAACGCAAAAAACTTAACCCGTCCCCATCCTATTTGTCATTGCCACCGTTTCATTACCGAACCAATCTTCCTTCCTCCACTCTTTCTTATTTACTTTTTGATTGATTTTTTGAAAATCTCCTTTTCATCGCAACTCACCATTATTGCCACAATGGTCTAACCTATCACGGTTCTTCGTGGCTAGTAAGGTAATCTGTTGGATTATGTAATTTTTTCATATTTTACAGTCTTCCTTTAGTCATGATAAATTTTTTAATTATAAGGTTAAAAACAAGAAAAATGATGAGAAAAGATCTAAGTAAAAAATTAGATATTTTTATTAAACTTTTCTTTTTTTAATTTTTTTTTTTTAAATAATGGTATAGGTGAAGTAACTTTTGTAATTAATGTAATTTTCTTTATCATCCCTTTTTACTGAATTTATTTTTTAGTGCTTATTTGGATTTTTTACTCTCATGCGACTTTTTTTGTAGGAATAGTTCTTTAAATTTCAAGATTCTTCGATGAGCCTTTTCTTTTTTTACAATTAGTTATCTTTGAAACTGTTGATAACAATGGTTTTCCAACTTTTTTGGCAAAAAAAGGGATGGATTTCCAGCTTCATTTTTATTATCTACTTCAATCACATTTAGATTCATATTATTGTAGATCAACATGTCTATGTCACCACTTGTTTCGTTTTGATATTGGTGATTGTATATGTTTGATTTTTTTTATGTATCAGTATTGCAATCATTTTATACCAAAGAGTGTCACTTTACATAAAGCATGGTGTAGTAGGCATAATGTTGTTTGTCCACATGTTGGTTGTGGAATTATTTTTAGGATTAAAAAGACTAAAATTTATGTGCATTGCGACAGATGTGGGCAAGCTTTTCAACTGTAAGAAATGGAGAAGCACATGAAAGTGTTTCATAAACCTTTTAGGTGTCCTTTTGGAATAGTCCCCGAAAAGGAAGACATGGTAGGTCACACTTCTTTGTACATAAATTTTATTTTAATTTATTTTATTTCAGTTAATTAGGTCATTATTATTGTCAATTTTAGTTAATTGATTTTAAAAGTGGAACACAAGTTAATTCGAGAATCTGAAATTTTTTAAGAGGGAACATTTCATATGTCGTTTTCATATTGGTGAATTTGATTTTGAGTGCAAGTTATTGATAAAGTATTCTATGTGTGTGTGTATATATATATATATATATATACATTTTATTTTAAGTTCTTGGATTGCTATATAACATTCATATATTATTTGTCAATAAATCTGTAAACCTCGTGATAGTATATAATTTTATTCATTTACAAGATGTGAAATTTGAGTAGATTTTTTGTTCGTTATTTTTCAATAAGCACATATGTTTCATGGTTTACAAGGTTTTGATGCATTAAGTTTTGCTAAGTTAAATGCCATTGAATTGAATGAATATATAAATTGAATAATTGAATCAATTATGTTTAAAAATAAAATTACATCATATTAATCATAGAATTAAAAATATGTGTTTTATTTGTTATTAGCTCCATTACATATGTGCATGTATTTTTAATTATGATTTTTAAATTTGTAGGTTGGAAATATTTCTCAATGGTAGCTTAGTAAAGCTTAGTAATTATTTGTTGAAAATATAAAAATAACATCGACATCAATGGTAAAAAGTTATTATTTTTTTTAAGAAAGCTTTTGAATTATTAATTTTTTATTGGTTTGAATTTTACTTTGTGAAATTGAAACTCCATTTGATTGTTTTAAAGATTTTGATTTCACATTTGATTTTGAGATGCATTATAGTTTTAATATAATTCTATAAATTCTAAGTCTAAGATAAGAAAATCAAACTCCTTTTACTAATTGAAATTTTGTTTTATTCATTAAATACTAGGTGATAAAACTAAACTATTAATTTTAGACAGAAAACTAAAATCATTATATAAAAACAGCTTTTTACTTTATATTTTATCCCTTTTCATTTGTTGTAATCTTTTTTAATTATTGATTACGTACGTGTTTTGCATCTTGAGCGTTATGGTCGTGAATGACGATGGTTGTAGGTTTTTTTGATTGTATATTTGGTCCAGCAATAATTTTTTTGTCTTTTTGCTTTTTAAAAACAAAAATTTTGTTTAGGGTTAAAAAAATATAGAGATTAAAAGCTAATAAATGCAAAAGATATTTGGATCATGTTTTGAATATGAATATTAATTTTGTTATTAATAAAGATGATGGTTGAGTGAGATATGTTGATGTTTTACATCTAATATGAGTGGTAGGGGAGGTATAGCATTAGATAGATTAGATTACAATATAAACAATGGTAGGGGTGGTGTTGTAATTCTTTCAATTTAAAGTAATTATATTGAGTTTCATACAATTTTTTTTTGAAGATATCATACCTCTTGCTCCTTAATTTTGATGTTGCAACAAATTAAGAAGCCAATGTCTAATTTTTTGTGTGATGATTCTCTATATTCATTGTATGCTGAGTATTATTTGTGGTTTTTTAATTTGTTATTAAAAATACTTGAAGGTAAAACAGGAGTAGAAGCATAGAGAGATTAAAAGTTAATAAACTTAGGACAGGGATTTTCTTTTTTTTTTTTTTGTTTTTTGTTTCATTTTCTTGATTGTATTAACACAGAATAACTTTCCAAATAAATTATCCTGCAAAGCAAAGCATGAATAATGATGATTTTGTAAAACAAAATTAATGGAACCAATAATGATCACATATCAATGGAATTCTTAAGAATGCATAATTTTTGGATTGTAAAATTTATTTTCATGCTTTTAAGTATTTTTTATTTATGTTTGTCAAATGTTATTCACATCAGAAATATAAACTACCAATGCATATAAACATCAAACATTAATAATTTATGCACCCGCCGCAAAGCGCGGGTGTTATACTAGTTTCATTAAAATGAAAACAAAATATAATCTTAATTTCATGAAATTCCCGTGCTTGAATCACCAATAGAGAACACTAAATCTAAACATCATGGGAAATGCTGTGCATTAACATATATTCATATCTTCTTGCAACTGCTAGATTTAATTGTCAGCTTGTAATTATTTACATACGTCAGAACCTAGTTATGATTCTGGATCTTTGAATTGGAAGCAAGATCACCAAAACAACATACCAAAGAAGAGAATAAAGTGCATGATCAGTTCAGATGTGCAATTACAGGCAAGGGGTATTTCACGGGAAAACTTGGAACTCCCCCGTCTTTGTTTGGTGTAAACCATTAAATGGAAAGATCAGGGAACCTAGACCGGCAAAAGTTTCTGATAAGCGATGGAGCCAATGCCTCAGTATCTGACTAAACGAAATTAAGACCCATTCAGCAGAGCACAGTATATAAAACATGTAAGTGGCCAAAGACAATAGTTGTTGTTTCTCATCTTAGTCGGGTCTCTCTTTGTTCCATCTTCCATTGAATGTGTCCTTAATCGTCTAAAAAGAATTTAAGTTTTCGGGAACAAACTAGGTCCCTAAAGATAATTCTGAAAAGATCACTGTAGTCTATCGGAGACATGACACGAGGCTGAGTTATCAAAATCTGTTCAGAAAACTTCCCAAATACGTAGGAATATAGTAATTAGAAGCAAAGAAATGAGAACCCTGTATAGTTATCGTAAAAGAACTTCACTGGTTGCTCCGGTACCTTGGTTCGGGAAGTTATAACTGAAAAAAAAAAAAAAAAAAAAACCAATTATATAACAAATCAGTTGCGACAACCAGTATCATAGAGGATTAGAAACCTCTTAACAGAAAGTGACCTAAAATTATGATCTCATCCCTTCTGAACCAACCTTGAAAATGTACACTGTTAGGAGTAGCAATAACAGTCCCCCCAGTTACGCAAAGTTGGCACCTATTCATAAATCATAACCTCAAAAGAGTTGTGCTTAGCCCTGAAAGGGCTTCCTTCCCCCCTTTTCATACAAAAGGGCCAACTCATATGGCACTTTTCAAGATTCTCAAATAAATTTAAACTGCATTACAAATTTATCACATGAGATGCTATTCTAAAATACGCAGAGTATAGGCACCTTCGTCTCCCCTTAGACAGTTGGCTGTACTATTAGAACCATCTAATTCCAACTTTATAAACCAAAATTCAGAGAAGTTAATGTAGAGAGAGAGAGAGAGAGAGAGAGAGAGAGGTTGAAGAGTAAGAAAATATCATAGACAACGTCAGTTAATCAGAATTATGAAACTAAAATACTTTTTTAATATTTGAACGTTGTTATATTCATTTAAAAAACCAAAATTACCAAGATAATGACAAACATCTGAAATGGTACATTAAACAAATTTTCTCAAGGCTTAGGAGTTGGTATAAACAAGACAGCATAGTACCATAATACCATTGATCAGTTAAGACAACTATTCCCTTGGAGGATTAGAAGCCTCCCTTACAGAAGGTGACCTGGAATCGATGCTGCCATCCCTTCCGAACCTTGAAACACTTCTTACACTTTTAGGAGTAGATATGCCAGGGCTTGCACCTCGATAACTGGCACGAAGAGTTTCATCCACAGAAGAAGAGGACTTTGCAATTGCATTTCTTACAAACTTCTGGGCAGCAGGAGAAAGGGTACGCACACTTGGACTAGCACTGCCACCTCTATATGGCGATGGCAATGGTGGCTTCTTAAACATCTTCGACCTCTCTCTCAATTTCCGAGCAGCTTCCCTTGACAAGGAGTGCGCCTTGACATCTCTGGCAGGCGGACAAGGAATCTTAAAATGAGGCCCATCACCGCTACCACCAATATCAATTGGTGTATCTTCAGGCTCCAACCTCAAAGGTGTCCCTTCAATTTCACCCCATGTAATAAAGGGGGATTCATCAACACCTGGTGCAGGTGATGGAGTCCTTACAAAACTATAACCATTCTCTGCTTTCTTCCCAGATTCCACATAAAACTGATGTGGGGTCTTTCTCAAATCCTCCAGATCATACTTTTTGCCCTTATCCCCATCCCTACCTGACATAGGCATCGGAGTTGCACCCGCCACAGGAGTATAGAGCACCTCCACAGATCCATCATCTTTCGGCCTAGAATCCATCACTTTACCATGAAAACGTGTGTTAGCACGGTTGACCTCCTTCGTCAAACCCTTCAATCTTACTGCCCGTTCCTCCTCAGTCAATGGAGCCTCACCCCGATCAGCAGGATGATACATCAACAAATTCTTGGCCGTATACTTCCACCCTTCCAATGTGCTCGTTGGCTGATCAGACGTCCCATACCCATCTGTAATCCTATCCCTTCTCACATCCGCAATTAATTTAACATCCTCCTCCCCCTCTTCGCTCTGCGTCAAATACCCATACTTCTCCTTCTTCTTCCTATTAACCTTCTCTAAAATCTTTGAAAAACTATCATTATCCTCACTCGTATACCTCCTAAAAAACTCATCTAAGGACAAACTCGTATCGACCTCACCCTCGCTTTCCCTACAATCACCCTCACCGGACAATTCCCTACCTAAAACACCTGGGGTTTTGGGGGTTTTACCATCAAATTCATCAAAAGGAGTAAAATTTCTCATAAAAGTAGAACCAGGGGTTTGAGTTTGACCTCTACCATCGGAATTCACATTATTTACCTTTTTGCCACGGCGTTCGATTATCTTCAACTGGGCATCACGAATTTGAATCGGATCGCCAGTCTTGATGGCTTCGAGCCAATCGAGTCGATCTCGGAGCTTGGAAATGTCGGGGAAGAAATCACGCTCGATGATCTTCTCGATGGCGGCGACGTAGGAGTCCTCATCGAGGACTCGGGGGCGTTTTTTGCTAGGATTATTCGGGGTGATTGAGGAAGAAGCGTTGGGAGTTTGGAGGCAGTTGTCGGAATATGAAGATGGAGACGGTGATGAAACATGGCGCGGAGAGTGACCTGGAGAGAGAAGCATGGTGTCTCAGAAATTAGGGTTTTCAGAGAACTGAAATTTGATTTTAGGGCTCGCCCCTATGACGTATTCTACTTTAATTTTAATTTTAATTTTAGTGGGTAATGGGTTCCATATATATAAGCATAAATAAGGACCCACGACAAAGTCAAAATTAAGAAAAAAATCCAATAAGCAACCAATAACCGCGTCTCAAGACAAAGGAAACACAGATACTTGAGTGTTACTGACGGTACTTTATTATTTTCCCAAAGCTCTCCTCCCCTTTCCTTGCCCGACTGTGTTTTTTTTTTTTTTTTTTTATTAGACTTTAACAAATCTGAAACGCTCTTTCCCCACTCTACTTCCACCCTTTAGCTAACCTACTTTCACTTTCCCGGTCCAATCACGATAGCTGGTGTGATCTACGGCGCTGATTGACTTGTATACTCACGCGCTTTCCACGCAATCTTCGGCTAGGGTTTCTTGATGGTCTCTTCGACAATTGCATAGGTAACTTTTTTTGTGTTTACTTGGTTCAGTTTTTGTTTCTTTTACCTAATTTTTTTGTGCTGGAGTGAATTGAATTGAATCTAGCGTTTGCCGGCGTAATTCTGGAAATTATGGCTCTTAGTTGTTTCCGTACTCTGTTTGCTGAGAAACTCGACGAAAAAGAGCGAAAGAGTTTGGAAAACCATAGTCTTTGAATTAAATTCTCAATAGTTGAAATATCTTAAATTTCATATTTAAAGTGAGTTTTTTCCAGGTGATTTGATGGTTGTTTTGTGTTTCCTTTAGTAACGAACTTTAGAATTTTTTCTTATATTAAATTAACCTCACAAATTTCATCGTTCTGTTAGTAGTTGAATTAGGGATTGTTTGGTTGGCGTTTGGAAGCCTTTCCTGTCTTTTGTTAGTTATAATTCTGAAATTCTTAATCAAGCGAGCCAGTCATGACCTGATGCAATATCATATGATTATACTCTAATTTTCTGAGCAATTCAATACTAACGGCTGATATATGTTGCTTGCTGCACTGATTCAGCCAGTTTATTTGGAATTATCTGATCACCATTAAGTCATGTACATATTTTTGTTTAAGTATATGTAAAGTCTTTTGCAAATGCCTTTTTCAAGTTTGGCCTAGCAATAGAGGCATATTTTTATGGTAACTTGGGTTTTTTCTGAAATACCTTCAACTGATAAGATGTTCTTTATTTCAGATGGTTTCTTCGGAGGAGTGTGTAACACATGAAGTTTGTACAGATAAATTACAGAGCCTAGACGCTGGAAGTCATGCATTGCAACAGATCTTTGATAGTAAAAGTCACTCAGCACTATCTGAACAAGGAGAAGGAACCCTTTCTATTAAATCAGAGAAAGATCTGCTTCCTGATACTGGGGAACATCCTTCACAACTGGAGCAAGGAGGAAATGCTTCCTCTATGATATCCGAGAAAACATTGCTGACTCCCTCTCCATTGCCTGGTACAGAAGGGAGCAGTCCTGTAGTACGTGAGAAAGCATCAGAGGATGGGTATAACTGGCGTAAATATGGGCAGAAACTTGTTAAAGGAAATGAATTTGTTCGAAGTTATTACAAATGTACACATCCAAACTGCCTAGTGAAAAAGCAATTAGAACGTACACATAATGGGAAAATGGTTGACACTGTATATTTTGGTCAGCATGATCATCCAAAGCCACTGAACCTTCCACTAGCTGTTGGATTTGTTGTCTCCGTTGTTGAAGAGAGACCAGATAAGGCCTCTCCAACCGTTGTCGAAGGTAAGAAAGCATCTTAATCATTTGTGACAAGTCTAATCTAATGAAGTATCAATTGCCTAATTTTCAACTGACTTCATATTTGAAGACAAGTCATTGGATGCACATATCCAAACACCTCGCCAGATTGAGCCAAGAGATGGTTCTCAGCCTTTAGCTGTTGCTGCCAGTGAAGATGTAAAAGGTGCACCATCAAAATCAAGTAGGACAGAAAATGTTGCTGATAGTGATGATGATCATCTCATCTCAAAACGAAGGTACCTTAGTTTATTTCTCTTGTGTGTTTGTATATCCTCTTAACCTTTGTTTAACAGCCATAAATGTAAACAGGAAGAAAGAAAATAGTAATGCTGATGCATGTCTGATGGAGAAGCCAACCAGTGAATCACGAATGGTTATTAAGACTCTGAGTGAGGTTGACATCGTAAATGATGGGTACCGCTGGCGCAAATATGGGCAGAAATTAGTTAAAGGCAATCCAAATCCAAGGTATGTATCAAGTTTGTGCACATTTCAATTTTCAAACACTTAAATTTCTCTAATTTACATTTTATTTCTGCTCATTTGCTATTGTGATGATTACGCTGTTACACCAACTGTAGATATATCGTCATCTTAATTGGAGATGCCTCCTTATCTCTAATGCATAGATAGCGCTTGATGCATATTACTTGTGATGTAGGAGTTACTACAGGTGCTCAAATCCTGGATGCCCTGTCAAGAAACATGTAGAGAGGGCTTCTCATGATGCTAAATTGGTTATAACTACATATGAGGGGCGACATGACCATGATTTGCCTCCAAATAGGACTGTTACTCACAATTCAAGGGGAGTAAATGATCATTTGGCAGCTCCTAATGACGAATCAGGCACCAAGGTAGAAAAAAGTGAGACCGTCTGCCTCAGTATGGCTGTTCATTCTAGTTCTGGAGCTGAGAATAAATCAAGTGAGCAATTGAACGGTGAGTCAAGAAGTAAGTCAGAAGTGTTGGTATGATTGATGCACCTCTATTTGGTCCTGAAAGTGGGTCTACTGAGCAACGGGGTGGGAAGTTGGATCCCTGTAAAGAAAGTGATGCAGTTGGCAGGGATATGATTGTTCATAGTAAAACGAGTTCTCAGAATACATCAAATGGGCAACTGAGCAGCAAATTAGAAACGAAATCAGAAAATGATACTGTTTGCATTAAGCAGATGGTTCATATCACTCCACGTTCTGAGTGTAATTTTCATGAGCAACAAATGCCTAGTGCAGAACCTGTCCAAAGCTGAACTGAGGGTAATAGTTTAATTATGGTCCTAAGTGGCAGTGTATTCTCAAATGGATCTTTTTCAGGATTTTGAAGTAGGGGCTGCAGTTGGTTGGGTGTATCAATAATGTATTGGCAAACCACCCATGTGTAAAATTATTTTAACCAGTTAAATAATGCCAGATTAAACATGGTATTTTTTATCTTACAGTAAGATCAGATATACAGTAGGTGTCACTGCTAATCTTTAAAGAGGGCATTCTTGCAGTTATTTTTCATCTTATTGGTTATGGACAAATCTGTGGTTCTAAGGCTATGCAATTTCTCACAAGTAAAATGCTTTAATTGGAATGGCCAAGTCATCTATCACCATTGTCCAATCCCCATGTAAACTCCCAGCTTCCACCCCCTTGCTTCCATACCTCCACCGCAAACTAGAAGAAAGTGAAATGGAGGTGGAAGGGTGGGGTTGGTTGGGGGGTTGGTGTTACTGGTGTAGCGTGTGGTCACCAGCGTAGATGTATTAACCTTTGGCCAACCCATTGAGCTGTGAGGAACTATGACAAAACCAAAAGAATTGCAGTCAGTCAGATCGAGAAATTGGAAATTGACTCCTTCGATCTACCAGCAATAAGACCTCCCTTACAGCTTGCAGAATGAGTAAAACAATAGAACAAGATGAATGCAAAGAAGCTGGCTAACTTATGATTTATAAAAAAGTACACCCTCTAATAAGCTCTTGGCAGCTAAGAGAAAGAGAAGTAAAGACTCTATCACAGCTTAGTCCCCAAGCTCCTAAAAGAACACTAATTGAAGCATAACTATCGCTTCCATGCATGCCAGAGGCCTTGAACAGAGGTAGAATTAAGAACAGGGTAACTAGGAGGTCCTAAGTTCAAGTCACCTATTCTCATGTGTGAGTACAATATTAAAGAGAATTATAAAAATCACTTCCATGCACAAGCAGCAACCAAATCCCTATTCATCCAACCAAGATACAAAGCCCCATCTCTCTCTTCAAGCCTATATTTATCACAGTAGTTCTCAAGCAGTGTTTTTATGGTGGCATTAACCAAGGAGCTTAAAGGATAAGGAGTGAACCCTGCCATTCTGAACCTTGACCTCCACTTTCCCAACAGCTCATGTCGTTCCACTCTCTCAGGCCCCTCACAAGCTATGATGTTAACAACATCCCTTGCCAGGCAGTGCTGCTCAACATTGATCCGCTCTTTATGTTCCCGTGGGAGAGTCACGTCAATTGATTCAAACATGGCTGTGTAATAGTTCAATGTCTCAAGGAACCTAGGAAAGAATGGAGCACTATTTGTGTTAGATTCCTGCTCCACAAGGGTTACAACCTTTGGAGACAGGCTCTTAACCAGCCTCAAGAGTCGGTCACGAAGGTTCTCGGTGCTGACACTCTCATCAGGCATGTGGTGAAGCATGAAAGCAAAATTTACAGCTAGAGCCTCTCCAGGTTGAACTCGAAGATGTTCCTGCTGAACCTCACAACCAGACATGGCCACCGCATGGAACTTAAATGGCACTTTAAAACGCTCTGCAAGCTTAGACAGCCTCTTTCCCACAATGTTTAGGTCTCCTCCACGGGCATAAGCAGATATGGAATCATCAATACCAGTTATGCGGATGTGGGGTGGACCACCAGGCCTAGCTGCAAATGCTTGGATGAGAGTGATCCACTGACTCCCCTGAGCTATTTGGAAATCAATAATATGGACTCTATCTTCATCCTTCATGGCTTCTGCAATGGCTCCATTTGCAGACATGTAACCAAACTTGAAGTAGGGGCAAACCTCGTAAAGAATGTGCATGTAGGATAATAGATCAGCACTTGCTGGTTCTTTGCATCTCAAAGCCTTGTAGATAGAGCTCCCTGAGGAAGCCAGTCGTGCCACAAGTCCTTCCAACATGTATGCTCCCAACCTCTGGATGGGCTCACCAGAAACTGACACCATCCTTCGTAATTCATCCATTAACCATTGTGCCATCAATAGATCATTATCTGATACTGCTTTTGCACAGGAGACAAGGACCTGTATTAAGTCCCCTCTGGAGATTGCATCCATTACAAGTCTCCAGCCATCCATCTCTGGTGAGGTTGTGCCATCAATAAAATCAGAATCAGGCCCTAGCATCACAGTTTCCAGCTCTCTCAGCTTATCCCTCAAATCACTTACATCATCAGTTATGCAGGAACCACTAAGAGGAGAGCCATAGGTATTGTCAGGAGAATGATGCAGGTCAGATGGATATGACTGAGATTCTTGCTGTGACATCGGGCTTCCGTTTGGTGAGAAACTGACAGTTGATGAAGAGTTGTAGAAAGTACAACTGCCATTTGCAGAAGATGACTCCAAAGTGCAATAATGCTCATGGGAATTCTTAAGAGAGAAGTGGGATCCGTGGCTACCATCACTATAGCAGAGAGAGCAATCAATAGTTGGGAATTGAGGGAAGCAGTAGGGCTCAACTTCTTGCTTTACTTGATGGTACAATCCGCTGGCCATGACTGAACTTCAGTGTTGCTGGGATGCTTGCATCGATGGATAATTTACTTGAACAGTTTCTCTGTCCCTTTATAGGGGCTGGGGCAATCAAAGGATTCAAGCCTGGAAAGATTGTTTTAAAACTAAAACGAAAGGTCCTAAGAGTCAGAATTTAGCATTTTATTGGTGTATATTGGTTCTAATAACAGCAACTTAAGAAACCTAGGATTCTCTTTGATATGCTAAATGCTGAATAAACAGATGAGAGAAAAATCAACATCACTACGATCCTTCACCCCTGACCATCCAGATTGCTTCCATCTGTCTCTTTATAATCTGCAAAAAAATGAAACAAGCTCAGCAAGAGTTGATGGCAGCAACGAGGATACATCGGAAGTTCCAGATTCAGCAAGCCAATGACAACAATATTCACAGCCAATTTGAGGGAAACCTAAGTAAACATTTTCTTTTAGTATTAAAAAAAATTGTTTGCTCAGTAGGGAAGGAAACACTGAGATTCATATAATAAAATTTCTTTTCTTCCTTTTCCTCTCCCTGTATATTTAAAGCAGAGAATAAGGAGTATTGAATATATATATATATATATATATATATATATAAAGGCAAAAGTGTTTGTCTTTATCCCTATATGCCTCAAAATCAAATAAAAAAATTCATTAAAGACTTTATTCAACTCAAATCCAGAAACTAGTTTCGTAAGTTAAGTACTTTTAAGACTTTATCACCAATATGGCGCACAAACGTAAATTATTGAAAAGAATAGTAATGCATTTCTATGCATTCACGTTCACAGAGTGTTATAAATACTGATCCATAAATCATCTCCCGTTGTCCCCATAGATTTGCTAAATGGAGATGCAATTTTGACATCTTCAAACCTATACCGAGAAGGAAGAGAAACACTTCCTCATTGATGGGATTGATAAAAATAACAATGGAATATCATTACTCAATAGTAGATACCACTTCAACAGTAGGTTCCCTAGACCTTCAACAAGAAGGATGCATAACATAACAAAGTTGAATAATCCAACCTACTAGAGCTATTACATTGTTTTTCGAGTTGATCCGCGGGGTATTCCCTAACACAACACATCTTTGATGCAGGAGTCAAAATCAGTCCTATTTAAACAGCATTTAGCAAAAATCAACCATGACCACTAGAACTTCAATTTATTTTGCACTTCATAAATAAATAAAACACATTTCAGCATCATATCATTACTTATCAGACATCCTGCCCTAGCAGAGGTGAAGGAGATCAAGCTTTTACAACCAAAAAATATTAGTTTTTTTTTTTTTTCACTGATCTAAAACCAAGAAAACTGTAAAAAACTCACTTAGTTTTTCATAACAACGTTGTCTTTTTTCTTTCTTTATTCCTGTCATTGCAAACAAGATTTCTAACAAGTATGAACAACCCAGTTTGTAACTAAATCAATTCCTCGCTTGAAAGAGAATCAAGCATCAATCACGAACATAGCAAATAGGCACTAAGACTCCCAATGAGAGCCATTTCAAGGTAAAAAATGAAAACCAAAACTTTCAACATCAGAAAGAATAAATTCTTAAAGTAAAAAAAAAAAAAAAACCGAAACTAGAAATTCTTGAAAACCATCTTACTTTTAGCTGATTCATCACAAACCCATTTTCAGTAAACTTAATTCATTCACCAAAACATTCGTCTTTCCCTCCCAATAAAGAATCCAACAACAAGTTTACTCACCCCAAGAAAAATATACCAACAAAAGACCAGAATTCCAAGAACCCCCCTCAAAAAAAGGCAACCAAGAAGAACAGACCTTAAATTCAATCTGAGAGAATAAATTCACTTGCATCATCATACCCACTTATTCTGAGGAATCTTCAGCTTTAGTGAAATTACACTTGAGAAAAACAGAGCTCTTTGTTTGGAGAGAGAGAGAACAGGTAAGAAATAGGATGGCGAGAGCTCAGTAACTCTTTTGTGAAGAGCCACATGTGCATTATTAATTAAAAACTGATGAATTATTAAAAGCGTTTAGATTTGAAGTTTTAAAATACAAAATAATAATATATATAAATATAAAAAATAAAATAAAATATGTAGATGATATATTTTAAATTTTAATAATAATTATATATAAATTTAATAAAACAAAAAATATAAATTATATTTCATAATTTTTATATAAAATATAATATAAAAATATCAATCTTAATATTTTACATTATACAAACATACAAATCAGCACAACTAAATTATGTCACAACTTATAATTGCCATCAAACTCAAAAAAAAAAAAAAAGGAAAGAAAGACATGAAACATTTTGAGTTGTCTTGCAAGTTACTCATACTATTATTGGATATGTTTAAATGACCATAATACCCTTGTTAAATACGCATGAAAATTCATCCTATGGAATCTTTTCCACCAATATTTTTATAATTTATTTGCAAAAATATTAAAAATGCTTTGAGCTATTTCACATTCTGTAAATAAAATTTTATATTTTTTTTGTATTCAAATAATTTTTTATTGAATAAAAAATTAATTTATGTTAAAGGGTTTTTTAGATAAAATTAAAGGTTAAATATTTATTTGAATATAAATTAAAATTTTATCTAAATATAAATTAAAAATTAAAAATTATCTGAATATAAATAAAAAAATAAAAATTTATTTTTCCATAATAAAAATAAAAATTTATTTAAACAAAATTACAAATTCAAAAAAATTTTATTATTTTATTATTTTCGTTTTTTATGCCAAATAATTAAAAAAGGATAAGGTTGCTTCCCAATTGAGATTTTGGTGCTGATTTTTATTACACTTAATTATTTGATTTAAAGGTTAATGTGAACTATAACTATGATTAAATAAATTAGCATCTTGCTTAAATTGATATCACTTTGATGTTATTTTAAGGCTTGCTCTAATTTTCTTATCCATCATTTCTCAATGCCTTTCATTCTACTTATTTGTATTTTTTTCATCAACAAAAAAAAAAGGGCAATGTAAGAAATACACAAATGGAGTGGGGGGGTGGGAAAGGACCCACACGGCTGAGCGGGGCAGACATTAACACTTACATCACATCGCAATACAGCCAACATTCTCCAAATTCAATCCCCTTTTTCTTATATCGCAAGAGCCCCCTAAATTGCTAATTGCCCTTTCAATCATTTTAATCTAAGACCCCACTTATTTCGCAAAAAATAATTTTTATAAAATAATTTTTAAAAAATTAATTTTTATGTTTTTAAATATTTGTTTAGTAAAAAATTGATTAATTAAGAAAAAATGATTTATTGATTAATGAAAAATGATATTATTCTTTTAAAAATTATCGTACGAATTTAAAAAAAAAAATTATTTTTCAAAAAAAATTATTTTTGAGTAAAATTATTTATAATACTTTTTAGTATAATTTTACTTATAAATAATATTATATTAATAAATAAACACAATTATATTATAATATATTCATAAATAATATTAATATTCATAAATAATATTATATTAAAATAATATAAGAATAAAATATTTATTTTAAGTATTTTTAATAATAAATAATTTCAATATATTTTAACAATAAATATATTTTAATATTTTAATAGTTATATTAATATTATTTTTGAAAAAACAAAATTTTTAAAAAACAACCAAACAACAAAAAATATTTTTCATTAACTCATTTAAATACAAAAAATCTTTTTCAATTCAAAAATTATAAACATTTTTTAAAAATTATTTTTCAAAAATCATTTTTTACAAAACTAATGAACCAAAACATACTTCATCCATCCCTCTTTTACTTCTACTTTGTAGTTTGTCCTCTTTTCTTTTTTTCTCAATAAATTGCTCTAATCTCAATTTTGCTTGGTTTATTTCTCTTCTTGTATTTCATTGTTTTTTGTGATGTATTAAAATAATTATACCCATTTCGTCTAGAAGCAGACAATATTCATCCTTAATTTTGCTTTTGGAATAAGATAATCCAACATTGATGTAATGAACCAAGTGATTCCAAAGTTTAAAAAATGGTTTGTTCGTTTTAAATAAAATATTATTTAATATTGTCAAATCAAATCAGGCTGGACCGATTGAACGAATCGATTCAATCGATGACATGATCAATTTAAAAAAATATATGAAGTGGGACAGTTATTATATCAATTGAATCAAATTTAATTAGACTTAGTATTAAATTGATTTATTATTTAATATCTTAATCTTTTATTTTTTATTTGTGATCACTCCATTGAGTAAGTGTTCACTTTTATTCATATTTGGCAAAATTATCATCCTCATCAAAATTAATCAATTAAATTGATTAAACTAAAAATAAAAATTTTATTCAGTTGAATTGATTGGACCGACTAAAAATAAAAATTGGGTCAACTGAACCAAATGAATCAATTGAATAGAAATATCGAAAACCCAACCGATTGATCGTATGTTCGGATTTATTAAAACATTGAAACTAAGAAAATGAGAATCCTGTTTTTTCTTTGACCCCTTCAAAGTTGTGTCCCTAATGCCCCACAACTCTATCTCTATCAACCTTTGTCAATGCCATGGTTTGGAATTTTCTGTTTGTCCAATATTTGTCCCAAACATTAGATAGAAAGAGAGCTTCGAGACTCGAGTTAATGTGCCTTTTTTTTTTTTTTTTGGTAATGTGCCTTTACGTCCAAGTTAAAGTGACCTCCAAAATCCTTTCCAAATCATGATTTGATTCATTGTTTGGAGGATACTATGAGACTTGGCATGAGATTTAAGATTTATCAAGCCAACAATGATGCAAACTATATTTTAAGCTAGATCTCCATCATTAATTAGATTTTATTTTCTTTTACTTTTCTCTTTTAGTTGCATGGGACATGGGTTAATATAATAATTATTATCGGAATTAAAACCATAACTAGAATAAATTTAAAAGAACTTTAAAATTAGTGCAATAGGAAAATTTTAAGCTGAAAAGGGATGCTTAATTAGGATGGCAAGTTAGAAGCAAGAAATGAAATTCTTGCATGTTTAAAATAAACTTCTCGTTAAAAAAAATAAAAAATGTCTGCTTAAATCGATAAATATTAAATATTTCGTTTGTAAAATTTAAATTCAATGTTATTATCAATAATTTTTATTAATAAACAAGGATTTATAAGTTCAATGTACCTATAACATATCCAATTCCTAAGATAATCTCCCCTCATCAAATTTTTTTGAAAAAAATATGAATGTTTGTCATCAATTAACAATATAATTTCATTATTTTGATGGAGACATATTGACTTCTTGGATAAGAACACCCTTGGAAATATAACTAGAAATATGCTCATAAACTTTAATTTTTTAAAATTAAAGGGTCAAAAACATTTTCGAAAAAAAATTTAATAATCATTCAAACTCTTATCGATTTATTACAATCAATTAAACTGTTAAACATTTATTTTAATGAATTGAACCCTTATTAGATGAAATTGGTTAACTGTAAATATCAATTTCATTTAGTCAAAGATTTAATTGGAGTGAAAATAAATGTTTAAAAGTTCAATTGAATGAAAATAAATATATAATGACTCAATTGATCCGAAATAAAAAATAAAAAATTTAATTAATTGCAATAAAATATCAAAATTTAAATGATTATTAAATTTTTATTCGAAAACTTTTTTAACGCTTTTGCTAATTTTTAATTTTGTAAATTTTAAATACTGAATTTATAATGCAAAAGTTGTTTGGTATACTAATAAAAACTAAATGTACTTAGAGAAGTATGATTTTATTATTACTTACAATTGAAAAAAGTTAAAAAAGGAATAAAGAGTTAAAACAAAAAACAATATTAATGTAATTAAATAATATAATATTTTAAGGATTAATGTTATGAATGACTCCTAAATTATAATAAAATATTAAATTTTAAAATTTTTTAATATAAAATTTAAATTATAAATTTATTAACTAACGAGATCTTCATCTTTAATATAATTAACTTTTATTAACCTTTTTTAAAATAAAATGGACTCAATTAGTTAAATAGTTAAAAGTTGCTTATCATTTTCAATTTATTATTATTATTTTCTTTAACTGGTTTCTAAAAATATTTATCAAAAGATTTGAAAAATAAAATCATTAAAAATAAAATTAAAAAATTCCAATTATTTAGCAAACACACCTTTAATCAAAGTAACTCTAATATTATATTACTAGTAACTATCCAACTTAACAGTTTAAATTAAGAAATGAACTAAAAAGTCCCCGCCTTTGTCTTTAGATTTAAATGGAGCCAAAAATATAATCTTTTTGTATTGAAACCTGCAAAATCGATCCAAAATTAGTGCATGCATTGAAAACATTTTGGAAATAAAATCATATTTCTGATATATAGTAGGTTGGCTAATTAGTAAAAATTCAAAATAAATAATGAAAAAAAAATAATTTCCTGTTCTTGTTTTGTTCACAAAACAAATTTAAGAAAAAATTATACGTGTTAACATTTAAATTTTAAATTTATTAAATATTATCTGCTAAATATAATTATATAAATCAAATAAATTTAATTTTGTTTTACTTCATAAATCTTATTTTGTTTATGTCAGTATTTAAATTCGATAAAAACTCTTGAGATGGTCTCAATTTCTAACTGCTTCGGTGTCAGGAAAAAAATTATTCAATTTGCACAGTAAAAGAATATGATAAGAAAAGAATAAACGAAGTAAAAAGAAAAAAAAAAAAAATCAAACCCTGAATGTTCCCTAAAGTCCATATATATATATATATATATATATTTCCACGCATGGCATGGAATGGTAGCAGCAATAAGACTATAAGTTATCAGTAGTTTTTCCAAGTTTTATTACAAAGTTCCATGAACCAAATAGAAAAGCAAGAGGCCATGATGAAAGCTTGACTTTCTTTGCCCGTCATCTTACCGACCATATGCACGCTTGAGCTTTTATTGGAGATGGACTCCTCCAATTTTTCACCTTTTGCATCTGCATGTTTTTTCTTCACCTTCCCAAGATGAAAAAACTTTGACCTGAACAAGAAATCTGCGGAGTCAAGCCTACTAAAACTGTAAAACACTCGGACTTTCCACAAGACTTCAAACAAATTGTTGAAGAAGAAATCATCTCGGCCAACTCAAAAAGTCCTTAGGTCCAAAACGTTTGATTTTAAGTCATAATAATCGAACTACCCCTTTTTCCAAGACAGATTCCACCTAGTTATGACCAAATATCATTTTACTCAACAATTACGACTGCCCTCTATTTCTAACTTAAAACCAGGAAAATTTTCTTATTCTAGCTCAAAATTTCTTAGAACAAAGTCTAGATACTTAATTCTACTTACCTATCTGGTTTCTTATCTTTTTTTTTTTCAAATATCGGTTACCTATCAACTGACTTTTAAATTAATAATTTGATACATAAGAAACCGCAGCTTATATAAAGACCAAAAAAAAAAAAAAAAGATTGCATGTTCTAAGGTTTGAAACTATATCTACATGAACAATAAGCTTGGGTTGTAATATAAGGACATGCTAATCAAACTCTACGCAGGCCTATGACATAAAAATGGGTTTAGACCATGAGATGGCCCATAATGTGCTTGGACCTTTCTTTTATTGTTTGACAAATTCTACAAATAGTCACTGTTCGGATACATATTGATGATGAAATTTTTTTTTTTCATAAATTTGTCTTATTACCCACCAAATCTTTTCCTAACATAAAATTTCACAAGAAAAAAGATCATATTGTATATAAATAAAACAAAATTATTTTTTGAATGTATTTATATTAAAGTTAAATTCATTGATGCAGAATTTATATCGTTAATGATGAAAATGTAATTAAATCTTTGACTACGTAGGTACTACACAGGTGCATATCTGGAGGATAGAAACTATTCTGCCCTAGCTGCATTTGGTGGCTTTGCTTTTATTGCAGGGCAAGTCTGTTATCTTGAGGATTGAAATTTTCTTGGAAGAAGTTATGCTGTTGCATCAGGAAGTTTCCAACTTCAGGCATATAGGCTTTGGAATTAAACAGGTGCTTGGGAATATTCCTCTTTGCCATTGTTTATAATGTAACCTCTGCATAGCTACTGTGCTTGCTATTGTCCCATCAGATACCTTGTGGATTGATCTGCGAACTTTTACTATTACAGAATTCTCACTGCTCTTGGAAGGGAATAAAAACAAAGTACTTATTATAACAGCATTGCCTAATACAATATATATATATATATATATATATATATATATATATTGGCATGTGTTGGTTTTGGTGCTTTTGGGCATGATCATCCTACTCTATATAGTACAAACATATTTTTATTACAAATTTATGATCATAAAGACATAATTTTTCATGATAAGTTATGCAATTTCTAATGCAGTTAAACCCTCAGCATACGAGAACTTTTATATTTGCCGTCAAAAAAAAAAAGCGTTAATTTGACAAAATGAAAGAGGAAAAACAGGGAACCAATTTGCAAGATACTGACTAGCTTCCCAATTTTCTCAAAATTGGTCATAATGCAGGAAAATAGTTTCTACCAATATTTTTTGAAAGCTTTTTTCAGCTTGTTTTCAACAAGAAATAGTAAGCCTCAACACATCACCACAGGGGTAGAACGAGAAACAGGCTTGATCGTGGAAGGGGAAGAAGTAGAATGACCAACATCTAATTTTATTGCATGAATTGATTTGACTCTGAATCAGGGAATAAACTCATATTGGCAAGAATCATAACCTACAGGTAAATACAAGGAATAAAGGTCATCATAAAGAGAACAATGTATATGTGTATGAAAAGATCAATAAGCAAAGGAAAATTAGTCAAAAAGGCATCAAAAAGAAGTTTGATTATGGACAGAGATGGAGTTAAGCGGTAAGCTAGCTGTCATCCACCTCTGGTTCTGTAAGGGAGACTTATCTTTTCTTTTCACTCCGACCATAATAAAAGATATGATTTAGTAGCACCCACATGGATTTTGTAATAATCCTGATTTCTTATATCTTTTTTCTTCCTTTTGAATCAGCTAATCCATTGCTTTAGCATCGTTAAGATGCAAGTTGCTTCATACATGTTCCCTAAACGAGTAAACAGCAGCACATGACCCACCAAAGATCAAACGGCTATTTCACATGACTTGCAGTTTCTACTTTCTAGGCACTTGTGATTTTCTCATCTTGTTTTTTTTTTTTTATATATTATTAGTATTATTGCTTTGAATTTTATATTGCAGAAATTTCCATGCAAAATAATGAGGAAAAATAGTTTATCCAGTTAGTATCTTTATCTAACGCTTACTTGGATCAAGTTCTGTAATCATGGCAGCTCCTTTGAAGTTGCAAGATCCGCCTTTGTGCTTGAACTTTTGGAAATAATCATTGAATGCATAGGAAGCATGGTTTCTCATAGTGTTAGGAAAATAACAAGGGTGGTTCACCTGAATCTTACTGCAATCAGCACCACCGTTCCCACAAGCCCAATCCATGGCTACCTTCAACTCATCATCTGGGGTTTGCTCATCAGCTATGCACCACTGCTCAAATTCCCCAGCTGATGTAGCATGGATAGGAATCAGCATTTTAGAAAAAGCAGAACATACACATGAAACCATCTTATTTGAATGTATCAGATAGCATATTTATTTTAGAGACATGACAAGGTGTTTTAACTATGTTTGACAATGTACCCTGGTTTTCTTATGCTAGAATTAAATAGGAAATATATGCAGCAAAAATATCAGACCTGAACAATCATGACAGTTTGCTTATTTGGAGTATGAAAAAGACAACTTTAGAACCTTAAAGTTAGCAAAAATCATACCTGATTTTTGAGGAATTGTCAACATCAACAGCAGAACAAGCATTACCCTTATCAACAAGAGTGACATTTTCTTTTTTGAAAGGGAGACGGAGAGAGATATTCGGTCTGGGAACCGGGAAAATGATCTATATGATCCACTGAGAGATGTCATAGCCACAAGCTGCCAATATCCCTTATATAGTGTGAAAAGCATAACATAGCCCTTTGCAAAAATACGTAGCAGGGGCCATGTGAAGGGTCATATGGGCTTCATGTTGGCTCTCTTTTTAAAATTTTGACAAACTAGAAATAAAGGTATTACCTGAAATAAAAGCAAAACACAGTGCGGAAACTAAGCACAAGAAACCGTTTAAAATTTTCAATTTTTTCAGCAAAATTTCCAGTATTAGCACCTGGTCATTGCCTGCCATGTTACGCTCAACCCTTTACAACATTCAACTTCAGAGAAAGAATGAGATGTTTCAAGAAATCTTCAACAAAGAAAACTGCTCAAAAACTCAAATTTGAGGCCCAAATGAATAACCTTTGAGCAACAAGAGATTCATTTTCCTCGGGAATGTTTTGAGCAACAATATTATATTATACGTCATGGATGCAGAATCTCAGGTTCATGTTGAAGCTCACCATCTAAAACTAAGCATGCTGTGATGGCTGCGAAGGCTTTCATGTGACTAGTACATAACCATACCCACAAGTGCTCAGCAACACCATGAAATAAAGGCAGAGAACAAAATGTTTGACAAATCTAATCAAATCAAGCAATTTATTACTTACAACCACGGCAAACATTATATGTTACAACTAGTTTGCACTGATCGTACCAAGAAGAGAAAACGATAATATACAATGAAAAGTCATAGTTGCAACAAGGGGACCTCCTTCATGACATGAAACAGACAACCAAAGCATTCAAGAAGAACACAATCATTCGGCAAAGATAACTGTATGTATCGCATACTTAATTTCTCTGATGAGGGAGTTTGCTATTTGCTCAAGCTTTACTGAACTTCCAAACAATAGTTGCATCTCCTTTGGTCCATTTAAATGTAAAATGGTAACATTACAAGATGTCTATATTCGACTCCAAATAAAATAGAAAGTTCAATATTTTATCCATGTACACTTTGTCAGATTTTCCAACACAAAAGCTGACTAGGATGATAAAAATGAATCACTCATCTTACAAGAGCTTGAAACATGGAAACTCTACAAAAAAATTTATTGTTTGGCTGAGAACATATAAAATATGGGGGGAAAAAGAATGGAGGTCAATTACAATTAAATAAAAACTGGTATGTACCAGAAAAGCCACCACATTTTCCATTATACTTGGCAAGTGATCATATTGAGCAAAATGGACCAAAAACAATGGGTCAGAAGAATTTGAATACTCTTCCCCTGGTATTCAACACACTTGGAAGCAAAATCATGGATGCAAGCTCTGCATTCCTGAAGACAAAAACCATATGGTAAATATCCAAAAACCATTGTGTGGAATGTCATCAAATAGTTTGAATTCATGATATAATTTGTGATATGCACATGAAAAAGCTTCTTTTATCACTTTCAAAAGAAACAAAAAGAAAACACAAAACAAAAACCCACAATAAGAAACATAGAAGTTGCAGTTTATAGATTATAGATGTAGAAAAGGTTTTTCAAAACAAATACTTTGAAAGGAAATTTTCTGAAGAAATACTGAAAAGAAAAAGAAAAGCACAATAGAAAGCATGTTCCCTCAACCTAAAAGAACACAATATGAAAAGATTGTAGAGGAGATAAAAATGGTTGAGGATGCCTTCTTGTAGTACTGGAGTGAAGCAATATGCATGAAATAGTCAATATTTTATTACTAGCATTCAACTCAGAACAGAAAGAAAAGAGTAATGCCGAAATTACCATATTTCAGACGTCCATGGTATGAGGCAAGACATCGGTCAGCGCAGACTCATGGCAGTTAGGGCTCGTCACTAGTCAGACAACCAAAAGACATAGGGTCAACCTGGACAAATAAAGTTGAACCACCTCCCAATCTATCAACCAGACTCAAAAAAACGTGCAACAGCCGAATAAAGTTGCTCTTCCTCAAAAGGCTTTGACACATAGTCATCCATCCCAAATTTCAGGCATTCTTCATTTGTAGCCTGGATGACATCAGCCGTCATTGCTAATATTGGAACATGCCAGTGAGACACATTTCCATACATCTCAATTGATGCTTCTCCAGAAGCAAGTTTTTTGTTCACCTCAGTCTCCGCACTGCGGATTTGCCTAGTTGCTTCAAATCTGCATAATATTTGGAGTATCAGGATTGTGATATACTCTAAGAGTAGGAAAAATGAATAGTGAACTAGTCAGAGTTATCAGAAGTTAAGGGCATTCACGACATTTGAGGATCTCTTTCCATTTAGAACATATCTTGAAGATGTTTAGACCCAGAGGTAACAAATTACAATAACAAAGTCAAAGGGTAGTTAGAATGTTAGATAGATTACCCATCCATTTCCGGCATCTGGATATCCATGAAGCAGGCATCAAAATCATGGGGTGGCTTAAGCTTGTCCAGAGCATCCTGGCCCCTTTCCACACAGGAGACAATTGCTCCATATTTCTTTAAAGCACCTTCTGCCACTCTTCTGTTAACCTTATTGTCATCAACCACTAAAATTCGCTTTTCTCTAAGTAGACTCCCAAGTGTAGATGTTTTCTTTCTATGTACTTGGTCCTTTCTACCATTTCCAAGGGCTTCTTGGAAACAGGCAATCAAGACACTCAAACGAAGAGGCTTCATCAGCACATTATCTACAAAACCAGCAGTCTTAAGTTTGGAGCGTTCAACAGGGCTCATGGAGGTACCCAAGAGAAAAATCTTTGGAAGGTTTGTTGAAACATCTAGCCTGCCATTTTGGCCATGTTCTTTGAGCAATGTACGTAAATGGAGAACTGTTTCCTGATCCCAAACATCTTTGTCAATAAGAATCATGGCCAAATGTGCAAATTCACTGCAGAAGAAACAGATAAAAATGCATCAGAAAAACCAAGGTAAGTTGAATGGCATGGCAGTAAGCTTTCATGGTAATTCAAATATCCAAAAGTAATCGTCTTCAAATTCTTGTTTTTCATAAGTCAGCATGCTTATTATTATTAGTATCATTACTTACAAAACTTGATGCAGTTTTGAAAGAGGACATATATATATTATATATATTACATATATATATCATATATATATATATATATATATAAAGTGTCTTGATATTGACAGGTGACTCTCAGAAACTTCTGCTAAAAAGCCTTCAAAAACTGTGAACAATATCCCTGATTAATGTTTACATGTTGGTTTTCTAGCTTTATAACAGCTGTTTAGATTCAGAACAGTAACTAGAGTATTCACAGTGTCGCATGTTATATAAATTATGTCAGAGCAAAAACCCCAGTACCCATGTATCTTTCCCTAGGCTCCTTTGTGTACCGATTAATATTATAATCAATTCAAATTAAAGCCTTCTAACTTGGAAAGTTGGTTTTTTTTGTGTAAAATATCAAAAGCTTTCAATCTTCTATGTATAAGCACCACCAGAACTATTCTAGCCACCTTGTGCCACAAGTGCTTGAGAGATAGGTGCATGCTGACTCCATACTGGAAGCTATATCCAAAGATATTCCCAATCTCCGTAGATGGTATCTTGTGACCTCAGCTCGGATGCTTCTATTATCAATAATCAGTGCTCTCAATCCTTGAAACTCTGGAACCACTGGATCACATTGCTTCCATTTTGCATCCGGAGAACTCACTTCACCTTTTCCAAAAGCTCCAGTAAACGAGAAAGTACTGCCAATCCCAGGTTCACTCACGAACCCAATCTTCCCATGCATGAGTTCCACCAGATGTTTGCTGATGCTTAATCCTATTCCAGTCCCACCATAATGTCGTGAAGTGGAACTGTCAGCTTGTACAAAAGGAGTGAAAATTCGACTTTGTGCATCTAATCGAATTCCCACACCTGTATCCTCAACTGTTACTAGTAATTTAATCTTTTCAGGATCCTCCATTGTATCTTTGTCATTTAATATTTTAAAATTCTCCCAGCTTCTCCATCTTTCTACCACTGGAAACCCACTTAAGGTATTATATGTTTTACTCGACGTGTCTTGAACTAAGTTCAAGCCTTGTTGTAGCACCTTGTCTCCCACATCAAATGTGCCTTTCACTTCATCTACTAGATGCACTGAGACAAAAATATGCCCCTTATCTTGCGTAAACTGCAATTTAAAGGACCAATAAGTTAGGGAATGCATTCAAATGTCAAAAATCTGAAACTGGAAATTATATACAAACATAAATATTCATCTGATTTCTTGGATTTCTAGTGCAAGTTAAACATGAGAGTGCATTTATGAATCGGAAAAGCTTGGCTACATTAATTTACCATATTGCTCAATGCCTTTTTAAAAATTTTTAAACTGTAAATACTATCAACAGACAAGAATAATCTACTTTAAGGCATGTGTTGTCCCTGAAAGAATCCACCCTCTGCTATTAACTTAATTAAATCATTGAAACATGTCAGAGCCAGATTGAACTTAGTAGGATTAAGAATCTGAATAAAAATATGAGGTGATAGAGCCACTCAATTCTATGCAAGAAAAATGCATCCAGTTCAGAAGCAACATATCATTTTCCTAGTCTTCTGGTCGTTTAAGTTTTAACTATATAATGCAAAGGAAAGAGAAGAAACATGGAAATTCAAACATAACAAACCTTAATGGAATTTCCAACAAGGTTTGTAATTATTTGCCGAAACCGCCCAGGGTCACCAACAACAACTTCAGGAACCCGGTTGGACACATAAACCGCCAGCTTTTCATGTTCAAAGAATACAAATAAACAAGATTATATAAGTGAAGAAAAGCAGAAGAAAGAGAAATCAAATAAATTTTAAAAAATTAATAATAGTAAAGGAACAGTTCGGTTTACCTCAATCCCTTTATCATTAGATTTATCTGACGAGAGTGAGAGAACATTATCAAGAAGAGAGCGTAGATCAAAGGGCACATCCTCAAGCTCAAGCCTGCCTGATTCTATCTTAGCCTGATCAAGGACCTCATTTATCAATGAGATAAGATCTTTCCCACTATTATGAGCAGTCTCAGCATAGTCTCTTTGGATCGCATCAAGATCTGCGTCCATCAGCATTTTCAGCATACCTAGAATATTATACAAATGAACTATAAATACCATTCTTTAATTATTGTGCCAGAATAGAGAATTAATATTCATACAAATGAAAGGGTTTCTAATCACCTAAAACACCATTCATTGGAGTCCGGATTTCATGGGAAACAGTGGCTAGAAACTACAAAAAGGAAAACCATTAAGTTAGAAAACACTGTAGAACTACTCCATTATGGCCACATTTAGGGGAAAATTTTACTAAAATGACAATCACTAGAGAAATAAATTTGGATATAATTATGCCAAAGTTTTGAAAAGGAGAGAAACGTGTTTGCTAGGGGTAGCAAATGCACCTGAGATTTGGCTACATCTGCAGCTTCAGCACGAGCTTTGAGCTCCATCATCTCACGGTAGTCATTCTCTACTTTTGCTATTCGACATATAGCTGCATGGAAGATATGACCAACAAGCAAAGTAATAACTAGAACTCCTACTGATGCATTGATTGCCATCCAAGGTAATGGAGGTTTTTGCTTGAACCTGCAAGAGAAAAAAATTACCATCCCACATCTTTTTGCCAATATTATCTTTTTAATTTTTGGGAAAACTAACCTGCAGTGCATCTCATGCTTCCTTAATGGGTCCCCAAAATCAAGACTGCTAACATGCAATAGACCAGTATCAGTTACATCAGTACCATACATGCTGATGGGAGCAGATGCATTGGTTGTGTCATAAACGTTGACAACGATCGTTTGGTTGCTGGCAAGTTGCTGCAAAAGCTTCTCCACCAGGGAAGGGACATCATAAGATGCACCCAGATACCTGTAATTGAGATTCACTATTGAAATATTTTCCTATAAACATAAAAATACACTAACTGACAATAACAATAATACTTGTCTTGAGAAAATTACCCCACAGTCGCTTCAGTACGTTGCTCTGGTGTAGCATCTGGATGCAAATCCTTGTTATAAACAGCAAATGTGAGCACAACGCCAAGGTGATTGAACTTTAACAGCTTAAAAGGTGATGTCAATACTCCCTTTCCAGTTGCCCTTGCCCGCAGGATGTTCTCACGGTCTTCCTATGAAGAGTAGAAAGAGCAAATTAAAATAACATTATTGGCTAAATGAAGATGAGATAGTAAGAAGATGTAAATAGACTCACTTCTGAGGTGTGTTATTTTTATGTAAAACTCTTCAGGAAACTGTATTTAACATTATTAGCATGAAATTGAGAATGTATTCCTACTAGTGGGCTACCAACTAAAATAGTAGACCTACAATTATAACAGGATAAAAGGGATTTGGTTTTGATTCTTTAATCTTTGACCTGGTCTCTTAGAAAATTGACTGCTATGATTATAAACACCATACCCCTATCAAGTTCATTACTTGTGTTTCTGAGCTTGTTGATCCCTTTGCGTAATACATTAATGTTTCAGTGTTGAGATCAAACAGAAATTACTTTGGATAATGTAGATTACAGACTTGTTGCTAATCTGCATTCCAAGGCTAAGCAATTTAATTTTAGCAATATTGTCACAGTACACAGTCGTCCTCAATGTTTACTAAATCTGCATTCTAATGAACCATTTCTCATCATTCAAAAGCTTGTATCTAGAGAGAATTTTCTCGATTTGCCTACTCTTTAAAGGTTAGTCCTGCTTTCAATAGGAAGGATGTGCACCGAGGTACTTTAAAGCTTCCTGCCCTGGTTTCTAGTTCTTCCACAGGAATTTAACTGTTTAAGTGATGCACCAATGCCGTGTGGTGAGCTTAATTCTTCTTCCTGAAATGGGATAACTTGCAAGACCTATATTAGGTACTTTAAGGTTTATTTAATAGTAAGGGTTATTCTTGAAGTTTCCTATAGGAACTGGAGTTACATGGGTTGTAACTATCAGTACTTTCTATTTATAATTTTCAGTCAGACTTTGATACTGGGATAGCGAAATCATATTCTTTCCCGCCTCTTATTCCTCTCCTCTCTTTTCTCCCTCTTTTCTACCTCCTTTCTGTCTCCCTACACCTTTTCTTCTCCCATGCTGTATAAGTACTTTTCACACCACGAAGCAGGAATAATTCACAGCACTTTATTATTATTCTTTTTTTTTTTTTAATTTATATCATTTTGCTCCAGATGTTTTAGCTACTCGTCAAGATTAGTTGTTACTAGACGAAAATACTGGAAAACCAGCATAAGCCTTTTCTGTTTGCTCTCTTTACAACTTAAGTATTATCATAATTCAGCAAAGTTTTGTTTCTTTAAAGCTTATAATGTGCAACAATTCTTTTCATTTGGGGTATTCCTAGAATGACTTGGTGTAAGGCTAGGAGTTAGTAGTTATTATTTTACTCCCCTTGATTATGGCCCTAAATGAAGAATAGAACCAGATCTCAACCCCTAATTTCAAACCTCTGATTCCAATTGCTCCTAACTTCTCTCTTAAACCATGACTATAGTTCATTTACTCTTAAATTTTCCTTTATCATCCACATCACACCTAGGAATAGCTCCACTCTTAGCCCCATGTCATGATAAGCCCCCCAATATCATGTCAAACTCATGGTCAATCAATGTTGAGAATGACCAAAGGGAAATAACAAACTCACAACCATGAAGACAATGATGACATGGTTCCATATGAAGGCCACATTCAAGAGCTCGTGGAGACAATCATGTCATCTTGTGTATTTATCATTGTCTTTGGCCCTTTCGATCCCAAGCAAAACCAAAAACACGACATTCCAATCAAGTCCAAGTAACACTTAGGATCATATTTGGAGAATTCATATACCACAATAACCTTCACTACAAGTTGACTTCTTGTATTTTGTCCTTCTCGCGGAAAAAATGATTTTTCCCACAATGCGAAGGCTAAAGGATTTAGTACTTTCCTGTCCATTTAGGGTAGGCAAATCATTAGTCCTTCCATATGATTATTTCACAGACACTTCCCAAGAACCAACCAATATGTAGCTAAAAGGTGTGTAGTTTCCTGTCAAAATTTAAGTAAAGCACATGGCATATGCCTACCAGCTGCATAAAAACAATATTCCAGCAGCATTAACTATCAACTAGTGAAATTCTCAATCCATTTAGCTTTCTATAACAGACTTCAAGCAACATATAATTTGATTAATCTAAAAAATTAATGCATGCTTGCAATCATTTCGCTTGATCTCCATATGAGTTATGAAAGAAACTGGGTTATCTCAATCTGATACTAGCAGTTCAAAGTCAGCCAGATAATATAAGAACCAGGAGGGTAGCTTTAGGAAGAAGAAATCATTGTGCAAGTGTGCATCCATCCACACACATGCACACTTACACACAACAAGGAAAAAGAGTAAAGGAAGAATTTGACTTTTTTATGTTGTTTATGGTAGTGGTGGTGGGGGTAACAAAAACGGCAATCAACAGTTCCAAGAAAGCACAGGTTATTCATAAAAGGGAAAATAGATATAAAGCACAGCCTAAGCTAAGCTAAAACATACCTTGCCAGACATCATGTCAATAGAGACAATATGAGACACAGTTTCTTGTGAAAATATCACAGGTGCATATTCATCTTTAACGGGTGCAGGATCCAAATTTTCTGTCAGGCAATCTTGGACTAAAGTCTGGTCCTCAGTTTCCATTTTCTTTATAGTCCATCCATGCTGTTTCTCAAACTGCTCCCTCTCTGAGTGAAGAACTTTCAATGCATAAGCAACACCACTAGTAAGTGGTCTCTCAAAAGCTGTTCTCTCAGTATATTCACCAAATGTTTTCTGCAAAACATGAAATAGCAGTTCAGGTTGACATATAAGCAGAACTAAATTTGTCTATGCTGTAAGTACTTGAATTTCACATACAATTTTAAGCCAATTATTACAGTAACATAGTGGTTAATTATCACATCAATCAGTTAACTAAGTGATATGATGTAAGCTATACAACATAACTGAGACTTGCTATCATCATTCATAAGCATAGACTTATCCATACAAGTACAATTAGAAAAGCATTTGATATTCAGGTGCAAGCGCATAGAATATAACCTGATTAATGGCAGATGGATGCTTCCCATGGTGAAAAGTGGATACGAGAATAGCCAACGCATGAACATGATTCATGCTAACATTGAACTGATCTTGCAACATCCGTGCTCTTTCATCACACATGTTGGCAAGTGTCTCTTCTCTCCTCAAAATGATCTTTTGGTTTAAATGCCAAAATAACCAGAAGGATGTAAGCATCCCAAGGAGTACAAATACTATTAGGAGTTTCTTTCTCCACTTCCCTGCACCTTTGGGAGAGCTCTGGGCTTGCTGCTGCTGCTTTTGTTGCAGCAGCAGCTGTAGTTGCTGAGCTACAGGCTGCAATGGAACAGGCTCATTCTTTCTGTTCTTCCAGCACTTCAAACAAACTCCTGGAATCTTGCAGCTCAGTAACACTCCAACAAGAAGCAACAAACATCCTTTCACCATACAAAAAGACAAGTTCTGACAACAATCTTTTGATTGGACTCCCAGTGCACTTCTTTGCGAGATGTTCTGCTTATGCCAAACAACAAAAAATGCAGTTATTTTAATGGAATTATTCATGGATATCCATATTTGGTATAGTTCTATTCATTTAGCACTTTCAAGCATGCAATTCCAGAAAGAGTATAAATAAATAGATGACTCAGGCATTATCTGATTATGGCAAAAGGGTCTGGAGGGGCATAAAAAGCCATTTTCCATCATTGATTTTTCTTTTGGATAAATGCTATTTTACTTCATGGCAATTCACATACACATGCTTAACTGTATGATGTATTATAATCCTGACAGTTCAATTCACAAATGAGACCATAAATTTCATTATATCACTCATAAAGAATAACAGGATCTAGTATCGAAGAACTATAAAAATTCATTGCAATCTTTTAGTAATGGAATTGTCTTTAACATTTTGTGATGCTTAACTCTATATATCATTGTTTTATGAGCCATATATACTAACAAAAGCAGCAAAAATTCATCAGCTTCTTTTCAGAAATATTTTGCAGCCAAAATTATTATGGGCCAATGGAACAGCTCCACAATTGTAAACAACCTTTTTCCTATACCATTACTTGGTAACCATGTATAGTCTGTCTTTTTTCTTCTTTATTTTTCCTCCAAGGGAAGGGGAAAAGATATGTTATAAAATTTTACTCATCAGAAGGAAGAATTCATTGTACAGCATTAACTACTTTGCTTTTGAAATTTAAAAGGTTCAATATTTGGAGTCAGGTGTTTCTACAATCTGGTTGCTACCTTTCCATCACTGTGCTGCTTCCATGATATTAATGAATCTGCATTATCTGCATTTTGTGAGACAAAAGTATTATGCTCCAGCAATGACAAGTCATGCTCGCCAGGAATATTCTCAACTTGGACTGGGCATTGATCCTTAAGTTCTGTAGTTTTTACAGCCCACATCTGCTGCTTTTTGAAGTCTTGCTTCTCTGAACACAGTACCTTAAGAGCACAGGCAATACCATCACTTGAAGGCTTTTTAGGTCCTGAATGGCTGCTACATTCGAGGAATGTTATCTGGAATATGCAGAGTAATGAGAGAATGATAGACATTCCATGTAGAAAATCTAAGACATTCATCTTTGCAACCATATTTTGTTCACTGTTCTCGATGATGTCAGATAATAAGTTATCTGTATCAAGTTATAGATCTAAAGCATTGCCTATCAAGAAAAGATCTGAAGTATGTTTTCTCCAGTACTTGCTGCCATTATTACATAATCGGACAGGTTCATATGATTCCATTCTTTCAAAATATTCAGATTAATGCAATTCTGAAGGAAGTGGAAAGCGATTTAGAGAACATTTCCAGTATATAAGTATCCCATTTGACGAAATTACATGGTAGTGGAGCACATAAATAATGCAAAGGGATCTGGCCCATCAAGCTTGAATGAGAATGAGGACTAATGCATCAGCTTAATCCATTCAACATATTTCAATTTCAGGTAGACTGCACTCGTCTTGGGTTATTCAACTATACAAGGAGTCAAGGACAGGATAACAAATAGGTTATCCTATCATACCATAACCCCATTTTCAGATTCATGTCTTCTATGATTTCCAGCACAACTACAATTGAAACTGGGAAAAACCAATAAACAATATCTTTATCCTACATCATCTTCATCCTACATCATCTTCTACAAAGGAAAAATCTGATAGAACAAAGCCACATTTGTCTTATCGTATTATATTGGCCAAATTCAGCCTTCATAAACCAAAACAAGAACCTTCTAAAAAACAGTTTTTGTCAGTATACAATAATTCCAGCTATAAACCAAGCAAATTATACCAAAACAGGTAAAGTCTAAAGCTATCAAAGATACAAAATTACCTGATCCGATTCATAGAAGAAAGAAGCTAGAGCATGAAACTGGTTCTTGCTAACATTGAAATTTTGGAGCAAGATTCTTGCCTTCTCCTCACAAGAATCAGGACTCTTCTCATTCCTCTCCGAAGCTACACTATTGAAACTCAAGAAAAACCAAATAATCCCTGTAAAAACAAAGCCTAAAAGCCAGAGAAAGAGAAGGTTTCTCTTCCATTTCCTGAAAGAATTGGATCCATGCATAGTCTCTTTTGCCTTCTTTAGCCTGAAATTTGCTGATAATCTACAATTAGGACCAGAAAGCTTGCCGTTCATAGACATCTTATGTATTTCCCCAAGCAGCCTTGACAGCTTCACAAAATTCCCAGTTCCAGAAGAACAACTCATGAAAGTAAAACCTCCAAGGTGACCCCGAGATCAAAATTCCACAGCAGATTCAAATTTGCCAAAATGAAACCGAGAAAAAAAATTCTTCACCTAACCAAGTACAGAACTCAGCAGAAAATTCAGCTCATTTCTCAACAAAAACAAGCTTCAATTATTCACCATACCAAGAAAGCAAAGTGGTCCAAACTCCAAACCTCTTTGCTTTCTCTCTTTACCATCCACTTTATAGTTCAAATACTAAGTTTTTTTTTTCTTTCCCCCATCAAAAACCATGCCTTTCTTTTGAAACAACACTAAAAAGGGATCAGCAATCATGCCAAAACAAACAATCTGAACCCAACCCAGTATTCTTTTGGGCAACCTGTAAGGGAATCATTAAATGAAGTAAAAATTTTGGCTTTTTTCTATACCAATGCCTCTCAACCTTCCCTCACAGTCTGTACAACCAAGAGAAGGTATCAAGATCATAACTTTTTTTACAAAAAAAGAATTTATCTAGAAACCAAAATTTTGGACTTTAACCCAGCTGGTCTGTGAGGTAAACCAACTGGAATCAATCGTCGGACTTTGGATAAAAGAAGAGGTGTGTAACTTCTTTTTTTCCTCTTTTTAACACTCTCACTGGCCCCCCTTTTTCTCCCTATGCTCGGTTTGGAGTCCAGCAATTGAAACTAAGGTTTTTGGGGTGTATGATTATCTCATCATCTAGTGGGGAAGGTTTTAGGCCGCAGAAGCAAACAAACTCCTGCATTAGAAACCAACCCTTCCAATAAAATATATACATATATATTCCCCTTATTTTTTATTATTTTACTACTTAGTATCACATCAAAGTTTTAAACTTTTTCACCACTTTCATTTTTATATATCTGCGTTTTTCTTCTTTTTTGGTGAGGGTGTCCTCTTGCCTTTTTGTGAGTTGAAAGAGACTGCACCACTCAGCGTTTAAAGAGGGTGGGGTATTTGTTTCCTCAGCTGTTGTGTAGCTTATCTCAGACAAACGGATTCAGGTACAGTATGAGGGTAATTTTATTTATATTTTATATATATATATATCATTATTAAATATATCTCAATTTTAAAATTAAACTTACTATTTTTATTAAATACATTACACTCCTTATTTTTTATTTTTTCTTTCTCACCTTTTTGCTCCTTCGTTATTTTTTTTCCTTCTTCACTTTTAATCAAAAAAATCATAAATCTATCAAATTAATCTCAAATCACTTATATTTTTAAGTTTTGCATTGATTAAAGATAAAATTTTTAACTTATTTTGAATTGATTTAGTTGAAATTTAGATGAAATGCAGGTAAATATAAGTTAAAGTTTAGATAAATTCAAGTTTTTTGAAAATAAATTTTTGAAAAAATTAAAAGATTTCTTGAAATTTTATTTTTAAAAAGAACTTAAAATTTTTCAAAAAAAAAAAAAAAGTCTAAAAGCTTTTTGATCAAAAAATTTTTCGAAAATCTTAAAATTTAAAAGCTAAAGTTTTTTGAAAATCTATTTTAAAAATTTTTTTAAAATTTTTTTAATTCTATTTTTGAGAACTGTAAAGAAGAAGGAGAGAAAAATAAGTATATAAAGAGCATGGGAGTAAAAGTATAATTTATTAAAAGATAAATGAATATTTTTTAAATGAATTTGCTGATGTATAAAGAAATTTAAGTGGTACATTAAAAAGTCTCCGTACGAAAGATAAGACTCAGGGACTGAGAAGGTCAAATTTGGTATTTCACAATCCCGAATAGAAGCCACGCCAGATAGCCAAGGATTCCTGTTCAGACTCCAGTTTGAAATTACGGATAAAATGTCCAAATCTTTCATTCGAATTTTATTTTAATTTTTAACTGTTAAATCGTTTCATAAAAGTTCCAATTCTTTTAAAAGGGTGTTAATATTTTTTTAGTTTCTAATAAATAAAAAACATTGTCCTAGATATTAGTAACACTGTATGGAACTTATTTTTTTATGACTATAAATTTAATTTGTAAGAAAAATTTTTACTAAATATTTTATTTTATATATAATCTTAAATTATATAATAAAAAATTATACTTTTTGTTGCATGAATTTTACTTTACCACTATATATTGTTTAAAAAAACTAATCCTCTTGTCTTAAAGTCAAAATTTAAGTTTTAAATAAATTTCATTTCTAATTATTAACAAGTGTTTGTAGTTTTTTATCATTATCAATTTCAAATTGTGTGAACCTAATTTTATCTTTGAACCTTTATAGAATGTACTCTCTTATATTAATTTGATATATATATATTTTGTTTGTGATCTTCGATATTCAAAAATTATTTTAAATTTTAATTAATTCGAAATCGAATCGAATCAGATTTTATAAGAGATAAGCTTTTTAATTTTATTTTTTTCATTCATAAAACTCGAAATTAATATTTTATTTAAAGAGAATCGAACTTCTTACCACTCAGATCAATAAATACTAATATTAATTTTATATATTTAAGATTTACTCTTGAGATACTTTATACAAAAATTCAACCCAAATACTAAAAAAAAGGAACTCACTCATCTTTCATCAATTATAATATAATTTATTGATAAAATATTAAAATTTTAATATTTAATAATTTAAATAAAAAAATCCTTTTACAAATTGAATTAGTGAATCATTAATAACACTACATTAACATTATTATCACCAATCAAATGATTTTCTTAATAAAATATTAAAATTTTAACTTCAATATTAAAATGAATTTTTTGTTATTTTATATATGTATAAAGGAAGATTCAATTTATATGATATAAATTTTTAATTTTAAAATAAAAAATAATTTTATACGAATCCTTGTCATAAATATTTATTTATATATATATTCTATGCCCATAAGAAGAATAGGGAAACGGAAGCGGAGTAAAACGGGAAAAAAATCGGCAATTGCTACGGTATGGGCTGACATTCTTAATCTGTGCAGTCTGTGGGGGAATATAATTGATGATGTGGGCATCAATATAAATGTTTGTCGGCTATGTACCTTAACCACCAGCATTAAACGAATAGCAAAAAAATAATTAAAAATGTTGAGATGGCCAAGCAAGGATTAAAATAATCATTTTATGTCAATGCCAGTGATTAGTTTGACCACAATAGCAAAAAGAATTTTTGAGTTATGGACTTAGGTTTTATTTGCGACGGTGATAAAATTAATTTGGATAATATTAAAAAAATAATTATTATTATAATTATAATTAAAAATTTTTAATAAAAGCTTTATATTAAATAAATTTTATTAAAATTAATATTTAAATTTATTTATACCACATTATAAATACAATAGAATTCAAATCTAACTTTATCGTTCCACATTTGGTTCGACGGAATTCCGCCGTTATTCCACTTCATTTATTTGGTTCACACAATGGACTGGAATTTTCTTGACCATCCAATTTAAAGGGTTAATAACAGCCCTGAATGACATTGTGTTTTTAAGAATCCCCTCAAACAAAAATAAAATAATTCACTGAAAAAGGTTGGGTCATGCCTCTATTTTGGCATAAAATTCCTTTTTATATATTTTTTATGAATTTTATTACATTTTAAGATAAATATTTAATTTAAAATCAATTAATAATAAGTGAAATGGTCATAGATATATTTTAATTTTATGTGTTTAAAATATCTCAAATTTAATTGATATTATAACATTATTTTATCATCACTTTAGCAATAGATTCAAATAATCATGATATTACTCAAATAAAAAATATCACATTGGAGCTATAACCATAAATAGCACTCATTAGTATAAAAAAGCCAACCCTTTCAACTTATCTAATTAAAATTTAAGAATTTATTTTAATACAAATTACAAGTTAGTTGTTTATTTAAGTATAATGAAATATAAAAAATTAGTGATAAACTTCAGAGAATTTTTATTATTTTAACTAAAATCTTAAGATATTTTCAACTTTAAATATATATTAATTCATATATCGTTTTCGATAGTTTCAGTTGTAATAAAAATTATTTTTTAATCTTAATTTTATTGATGGATGAAGTTATAGGACGCGATTCATCAAACAAGGGTATATTTTGCCCATTTTCATTTCATGTAATGTTTCTACGCCGCAATATACGATTTAACAACGTCGAGCCAATAAGTTTCCCAATCGACGCACCCAAATTTGCTTTTGTTTTATTTATTTATTTATTTTTAAATATAAGGAGTGGTCTCCATCATCGGGAGCCGTGAAGTAACAGGTGGACCCCATGACAGCTCGATCTGACAAATCACGCTCCTTTATTTTTTTACTAATTTCGCCGCGATTATTTATATATCGGCAAGAATAAGTAAAAAGAACGCGCCAATGCATGGAGTGACACGTCGATTAATTTAAGGGTCCCACAAGTATAAAAAAACAGCTTCGCTTCGGTTATAACCGTAACCAACCCGACAGACAAAACCACCCCCCCGCCCCACCCCACTGCACCATGCGACAAAAGTTGGAGGTAAACTGTGCACATGTATTTCAGTTGCGGCAGCTTCTAAATATTTTTCTTTTTTTTTTCCTTTACATCCCATTTGTTTTACAAAATTTTTTAAATAAAATTAATTATTTTTTATAAAATTTGAATATCAATATTTGATAAGATTTTAAAAAAGAAGGCATTTAAAATTTTAAGAAAAATGAAAAAAAATTTAATTAAAAGTTTTTATTAACTGATGTAATAAAACATTATTATTAAAAAATTATAAAATTTAAAATTAATGAAAAAAGTTAATTTTACTTTTTTGATTTTAAAAAAATAATAAAATTTTATAAGATTCTAATTCCACCAAAAATAAAATAGTATACATATAATTTTTTTATAAATTTAAAATTTACCATTTCCCTTTTTAATAAATATTTTTATCTGTTATTAAAATTTTAAAATAGTCCAACGATCTGACTAAATTAAATTCTTTAGAAAATTTTTTTTATTTATTTACCGTGATGAGTTTCTTCAATTAAAATAATAGATTATATAATATTTAGTAGTATTATTTATATAATTTTCAAAAGTTTCAACTCTCAAGTATTTATAAGATATGATAATTTATTTATTATCTCTCACCACATTAAAAGACAAAATATTTAAATAGGGTCTTATAAGACTTTTTTTATTATTAAAATAGTAAAATTAACTTCTTTTTTATTACTTTAAAATTTATGATTCCTTTCTAATAATAATTTTTTCATTACTTTAATTAATAAAAATGTTTTACAAAATTTTATTCTCATAACTTTTTTAAAAAAGCTTAAAAACTTATTTTTCAAAAAGTTATATAATTTACTGAATATAATTATCTGGAAACTTGTAGAAAGAATAATTAAATAATTTTTTTTAATTTATAAAAAAAAAAAATGTGAAGAGCAAAAACAAGAGTGTTTTTAGAAATTTTCTTCAATTTTTTTTAATTCATCCAAATTACAGTTCTGACTTTTTTTTTCTTTATCTATTTATTTACAATCGATATTATTCAGGTTTATAACAAAAACAAAAAAAAAAAAAGGGTATTCAGGTTTTTTGAGTGAAAAATGTTGGATTTTTTATTAAATTAATTATATTCTATTTTCCAAATAAATGTATTCAACAAGCTATGTATGACTATTAGTATTTGCTGCATTAAAACATTGAGGGAGTAGGAAAAGAATGACAATGTAATTTAATTTTTAGGGTTGATAAAATCATTTTTCCGCATTAATTATAGAGGACATGTTCCATTCGTCTAAAGGACGTTTCTCATAATTGAAAATCCAACAGCCATCTTTGTCACCATAAAT